CAAGACACACAAGCTGAAACGTCAAGACTGGGCCAAGAAATATCTCAAGACTGATTTTTCTAAGGTTTTATGGACTGATGAAATGAGAGTGAGTCTTGATGGGCCAGATGGATGGGCCCGTGGTTGGATTGGTAAAGGGCAGAGAGCTCCAATCCGACTCAGACGCCAGCAAGGTGGAGGTGGAGTACTGGTTTGGGCTGGTATCATCAAAGATGAGCTTGTGGGGCCTTTTCGGGTTGAGGATGGAGTCAGCTCAACTCCCAGTCCTACTGCCAGTTCCTGGAAGACACCTTCTTCAAGCAGTGGTACAGGAAGAAGTCTGCATCCTTCAAGAAAAACATGATTTTCATGCAGGACAATGCTCCATCACACGCGTCCAAGTACTCCACAGCGTGGCTGGCAAGAAAGGGTATAAAGAAGAAAATCTAATGACATGGCCTCCTTGTTCACCTGATCTGAACCCCATTGAGAACCTGTGGTCCATCATCAAATGTGAGATTTACAAGGAGGGAAAACGGTACACCTCTCTGAACAGTGTCTGGGAGGCTGTGGTTGCTGCTGCACGCAATGTTGATGGTGAACAGATCAAAACACTGACAGAATCCATGGATGGCAGGCTTTTGAGTGTCCTTGCAAAGAAAGGTGGCTATATTGGTCACTGATTTGTTTTTTGTTTTGTTTTTGAATGTCAGAAATGTATATTTGTGAATGTTGAGATGTTATATTGGTTTCACTGGTAATAATAAATAATTGAAATGGGTATATATTTGTTTTTTGTTAAGTTGCCTATAATTATGCACAGTAATAGTCACCTGCACACACAGATATCCCCCTAACATAGCTAAAACTAAAAACAAACTAAAAACTACTTCCAAAAATATTCAACTTTGATATTAATGAGTTTTTTGGGTTCATTGAGAACATGGTTGTTGTTCAATAATAAAATTAATCCTCAAAAATACAACTTGCCTAATAATTCTGCACTCCCTGTAATTATAAAAATCACAGAATTTCATAGCCCCAAGTTTTACCCTCGACTTATCCACGAGGCATAGCATATTTCACAATTGTTGGTCACAAAACTGCACTCGACTTATACATGAGATCGACTTATACACGAGTATATACGGTAGTCACAAACATTGGCCAAATTTAGCGTTCTATTTGTTTTTGTGTGAAAAAAGCAAAAAACTAATATTTGGCCAGTGTTTGTGACTAAGTGGCTACTAAGAAAGACTGGACATACCCCACTTGCAATACCTTGGGTTGTCTACTTTTTCAAATGGTATGCCATCATGGGGGTAATTCTCATTCCTGGACTACCATACGCTCTCAAAGGCAACATAACCAATCTGGCAAATGTCAAAAAAATGAAATGCAAGCCTTATATGTGACTCTCTAACTTTCCAAAACACCATAAAACCTGTACATGGGGGTACTGTTATTCTCGGGAGACTTCACTAAACACAAATATTAGTGTTTTAAAACAGTAAAACATATTACAACAATAATATAGTCCATAAAAGTGCAGTTTGTTTGTAAAAAAAGGAAAAAAAACATAACTTTTACTTAAAATATCATTTTGAAACACTAATATTTGAGTTCAGCGAAGTCTCCCGAGTAAAACAGTACCCCCTATGTACAGGTTTTATGGTGTCTTGGAGAGTTAAAGGGTCAAATATAGTGCTTGCGAATTAAATTCTCTGCACTCCCTGTGTTGTCAGGCATATCAATCAAATTTTAATTAATCAAATCACATAATTAGGTTAAAAGATTACTTAAATATATATGCGATCACATGGCCCCCAAGGGCCCTCATTTGCCGGGGGAGGGCTGCCTGGGCTGTCAGGCAGCCCTCCAGAAGAAGATCACGGCAGAGGTAAGTACGCCGGACCTCCAGGGGCTCAAAGCCGTTATGGCGTTCTATGCCGCCGCAGTGGCTTTAAAGCCCTTTTAATGCGGGACGGCATTGAACGCCGTAATGGTGTTAAGGAGTTAAAGGAACATTATAGTGTCAGGAAAACCGTTTGGGTCCCCCTCCCGCGGCGCTGAAGGTGTTAAAACCCCTTCAGCTACTCCCCCGCCGACATCAGAATCCTTGTCTGATGTCACCGGCGCCAAATGCGCTTACGCGGCACTGCAGCGCGCGCATTCAAAGTGTCCGTAGAAAAGCATTTTTCAATGCTTTCCTATGGACGCTCTGCGTGATTGAGGCATAATATGCCTCAATCATTGCCGATGCGCCTCTAGTGGTTGTCCGAAAGACAGCCACTAGAGGCTGGCTTAACCCCAGATGTAAACATAGCAGTTTCTCATAAACTGCTATGTTTACATCAGGAAGGGTTAACACTAGATGGACCTGACACCCAGACCACTTCATTGAGCTGAAGTGGTCTGGGTGACTATAGTGTCTCTTTAATAAGTAAGAGGTTGAGCTTTGACAGTTACCTTTAGATGTGGGTGTCCAGCAGGCTCAGCTGCCAATTCTCCCGAGATACCACTTGCGTGGATCAGGGCAATGAAACATACAATAGTTAACAGTTAAGAGCAGGAGAAGGTATAACAAAGAAGGTCTGCGGTTCAAGTGCTTTGCTATCAAAGCATGTATTGAAAGACCAAACAGAACACAGTAAACTAATTGCCGGTTTGCCTTAGCCCGCCCCCCACGCAGAACTTGGAAAATAATATTTCTCACACTTTTTTATATTCTATGTGAAATAAAAGCCATGTTTCTCCTGAACAGAATGATATACAATCAGCTCGGGTGCAATTAATATGAAAGCAGTCAATTATAGTTAAACGGACAAAGCTCAAATTCTAGGTTGTTTTGATCAGAACTTGTTCAATTGCCTCTGTTTTTAAGGGGGTTAATTCTACACAATGTATATAGCAGAGGTTAAAGCAGCACTGTCAAACCCCCCGGCAAAATGATTAATCAATATAAACTCTTTATGGAATTGGGGACTACAGACACTCACTCACTGACCGGGTTCTGTTTTTACGACCCGGTTGGAAAACGAATTGGTAAGTGAGGATGTGATAGCAAGCGTGCTTAAGAGAGCAGGTCTATGTTTGGAGGAATTCCCCCGAACATAAACCAGCTCTCTATAGTGGGGAATCTGTTCATAAGTGCGAGTCGTCGCAAAGTGAGGACCACCTGTACTTATTCTCAGTATATTTCCTACACCTCTAGACACTGGGCGGAGCCACCACCGTCACCAGGAACAGCTGCAGGGAATTTGGAGGGTCTTGCAGGATCCTCCATGCTGTACTTTTGCGCATGCGGTGACACACACACAAGGGACAAGTTCAGATAAGTTAAACTAACCTTTTCCGGCCACCGGACTCACTGCAGCTATGTCACCATTGTGGGTCTTTGCATATTATGCAAAGCCACTAGGTGGTGATAGTGCTGCTTTAAATTTTAAGTCCAAGGCTATTAGTCAGGCATTAGCATGGCCAATACCAAAAGATTGTTTGAGAATTGTTTAAAATGTTCTGTGGTTGCTGAGCCATATTTGTATGCTTTTTAAAAATCACCTGTCATGTACGAAACAGGGGTTAGTGACATTACATGGCCACAAAGTGTAAAAGGACCACTAAGATCAACTGGGCAGCTTTGTATCAATGAACTGGTCTGGGTGCAGTGCTTCGGTCCCTTTAACATAAAACACTGCAGCTTCTAACGTTGCGTGGTTAAATCCTCTTCTAGTGGAAGTCATGCTGACAGCTATTAGGGTCCCTTCCATGTTACTGACCGAGTAAAACCAGGTCATGTGACTTGGAAGCCTCCATAGGGGAATGATTGGATGCACATGCTTTGCTCGCCACAATGCCCATATTGCTCCTCATGGGAGGCAGAGGAGTAATAAGCTCAGAGGCAGCCATGGTGCTGGAAAAAGGTGAATCCTTTAAATTTTTTGCATAAAAAGCGAGGTGGGACAGAGCATTATAATGTTAGGAATACAGGTTTGGGTTCCTTTAAAGCCTCTGATATTGGTGAGTTTTAAACCTGGGAGAAATATACTGCTAACTGCATTACAAATACCATGTTTTATTATGTGAATACAGAACTTTTATGTGGTATAACTAAAGGGTAACACCACGTAAAAGTTTTCTATTAAGGGTAAAACGAAAGTGATAATTGCAAGGAATACAAAACAAATTTCAACATTTAGGCTGAAATAATTCAATTAGAAAAGTTCTCCAATTATGTTCGGTTGTCAGTTTGGCTCTTTTTGCCTTAGATTTAATATTCACTTGGAATTTCTTGGCAATACTCACTTTAGTGATGAACCCTGTGTGTGTTCACCTAGTCATACATTTGCTATTGTGTCCATTCACTGGAAATGTGATTTTAAAAGAATATTTAATAACTACATTAGAGATAGAACATTACACTACGGCAGCGTTAACCCATTAAGGACCAAACTTCTGGAATAAAAGGGAATCATGACATGTCACACATGTCTTGTGTCCTTAAGGGGTTAAAGGGACTTTCCAGGCAGCCCTTTTTACTCACCTGGTTCCAGCGCTGGGAGCCTCGTGAAGCCGCACCCCCTATTTCGTCAAAATGACGAAATAGGCGGGCGCGAGCAGGGAGCAATCAGACGATTCCATTTGTAAGTGTCATTGCTCCCTTGTGCGCATGCGCGGCTTCGCCGCACATACTTCATAGGGCGGCATTCATGCCGCCCTATGAAGTCCTTAGAGCACTACCGCGCATGCGCACAGCCACGGGCTGAGCTGACTGACAGCTCTGCTCGCGGCCTTTGCCCACACCCTCTCCTCTGCTGACAGGCAGGAGAGAGAAGGCGCCTTCTCTCTCCTGCACACGTCAGACATATTTTAATACGTCTGACGTGTACATGGCCTTTTTAGGGCCATACATGATAGGAAGTCCCTCTGGTGGCCGTCTGAGTGACAGCCACTGGAGGTATTCCTATCAATCAATGTAAACACTGTATTTTCTCTTAAAATACACTGTTTACATTATATTGCCTGCATGGAGCTATAGATCTCACCTGAACAACTACATTAAGCTGTAGTTGTTCAGGTGACTATATTGTCCCTTTAACACTGAATCAATTTCTCATTTGAATAATCTGTAATAACTTCTCTGTAAACAGAACCACTTACATCCTCCCAGTATATGTGGCTGTGGTAGATCCCCTTCATAAATCGATGCCAGTCCTCTTGATCCCAGGCCAAGACGGTCATCTTACGGTCCACATGAGCCCAGGCTATTTTTTGAGTTCCAAAAACAATGGAAACTATGCTCTCTGCGGCCTAGACAAAATAAAGCAGAAATGTGTATTTTATCGGCAGCAAAAATTGGAAGAATACAACCTTACTTAAAAACCACAAAACAAATCCCATCAAGCTTTGGAGATGTTTCCCATTGTGATCTGTTCAGAAAGTACACAAAATAAACTATGGTCTACATCGCAAAAGCATTACATTTCCATAAATCCAGAGGCAACGCACTGACATTGTGATTTTATAATACACAATCCCACTTCACAGCAGTATCCCATATGGGAACAACAGAAGGATTAAATTGTAGCATGTTATTAACTTGATATTCTGCAAAGCGTCAATGGCCATAGACCCTTAGATTAAAGCGGCACTGTGACGCCGGACTTCCCTTTCTTCTATTGTTTCCTCTTTTCTTCCTCTCTCAGAATCTTTTCTTTATTTCTGATCTAGTTTTCTTTAAACCATAAGACAAAGAAGGGACTACTTTGTCTTATGTAATTTTCCTGCGCCTGACATTCTCTGATAAAAGGAGGAGCTTAAGTCACTTCCATTTCCTGTGTCAAATAACATTTTCCCGCAATACTTACCCTCCTCCTTGAAGCAGGAAATGGAAGTCAAAAAAGGTCAAGCATAGGAAAAATACATAAGACAAAGTAATCCCTAGGGAAATAAAGAAAAGAACAACAGATTCTGAGAGAGTAAGAGAAAAGGAAACAATAAGAGAAAGGTAAGTTCAGTGTGACAGTGCCGCTTGTTAGGGCTTTTATTCCCGTTCTCTGGTATCTCTTGACATCACTTTCAGCAAGTGCAAGTCAACGGCAGTCTGTAACATACACAATGATATGATGAAGGATTTCAGATGGGAGGCAAGCAAAGAATTAGAGCTGTATCCGCCAGGCTATTACCATCTTACACCCTTCCCGTGAGTTTTGATTCCATCTGCCATGCTGCGCTGAGTGGCAGCCAAGTCACTTGTAACGTGTGTCCATTCATCTCACCCTGAAGACTGCTACGTCACACATAAGAGGAAGGGAACTGTTGATGCTGGGTAAATCTTTGCGACTGTAGATGTTCGTGTCTAAATATATTTCTCATCTGAAACACTGAGCACACGGTTAGGAGTTGAGGGGGAGGAGGGGGGCTTGATTGCATTCTAACTTTTGACCCGGTCTCCTAGATCAGGGCTAGGCAACCGTCGGCGCGCTAGAAGTTACTACATCTACCATTATACTGGCAAAGCATCAGGGATATGTAGTCCACAACATCTGCAGTGCCGATGGTTGCCCACACACATCCTAGATTCTAGACAAAAAAAAAGGATATGTAGTCCAAAACATCTGGAGTGCCAAAGGTTGCTTATGCCTGCTCGAAGATATTCTATAACAGATGGAGAGAGGGGAACGTGTTAACATTATGTGTAACTGGGTTTATAATCGCATAAGGCTATGCAGATCAGGGGAACTGTTATTTAAAGGCTCAACATAATTCATGGGATTTATGTTCAGAAACAGGTTATTTGAATAGTACTTCCTTATCTCACCGATTAAAAAAGAAATAAAATGCGTCAGAGGAAATGCAATGGCTAATTTTAAAAATAAAGGGCTATAGCATGGGAAATTACAATGGATAGGTTGTTAAATCATCTTACATAAGAATATGGGTCAGTAATGTTTGAAATGTAGTATGTGCAAAATTTAGACAAGCTTACAACAATTCAGCACAAGTCTAGAGAACATACTTGTGTACGCTCGGTAAATACTATCAAGTCTATGCCCGTGCCAGTAACCTGCAAACTAACCACAGTTAAAATCCCAGTCTGTTGGAACAGTATGTTTAAACACTCAGAGGTGCAATCAGCAATTTGTAACCAGTCAAAGGGTTGAATGAGACCGACCTGAGCTACTTACAGTAATTATGATCCTCAGCAGGTGTACACCTGACCTTTATTGTGTTAAGCGCTTTCTGGGTGTCCTTGGAGATGCATTCTGTCTACCACGGGCATTTGCCATGACAACAGTGGTAACTCACTATATCAATTGTGTATTACGGTTGGATTTACATTTTTATGAGCTTTCAGCCATTGTTTTGTGCTTATCGAAAAATAACGCTGCTCAAACAATTATACAATACCTATGACAAAATTGTACGTGCAGATATAAATAAAGAATACATTTTTTTTATATTTAAACACTTACATCAAGTCGGTCCGCAGGTATACCAGGTTTAATTAGTTTCGATGTTGCCTTAACCTCTGTTTTCCGTTCCTTCCTATGGTCTTTCGATTCAGAATGGAGGATGGATTCAAAAACTTTCATTGTAATTTTGGATTGGAAATAAGGTACATTCACCAGACTGTCCAGATCTAGAAAGGGTCCGTTTTCCTGTCTGTATTGTACAATGCTTGAAGATTTCTTCCCCCGTAAGAGTTTGATTCCAGAAAGCTCAACCTCTGATGCCGTATTGAGAACGTGGAGGATGGTGTCTGCTTCTTCCTCTGTGTAAACATCATTAAAGCTGATTTTACCATTGTCTCCTCCAGGCTCTGACTCTGCTGCATTCCCCTTCCAGCTCATATTCACTGTGGATTTTTGCAGACATTGGGAGCAATGTAGTGATCTCTGTGTTGGTGAGGGCTGCCATAAGAGAGTTTTGCCTATAAATGTAAAATACAAGAAATGGCATTAAAACATTGTTACATAATGATGCAAGTGAAGTCCAAAACATGTTTATTAGACTCACGTGCAGAATGTTGGTCCACCAAGGAATCTTTGCAGGATAAAGTTTAAAATGGGCTCCTTACAAGATTTTGTGAATTTCTGACCTGACATTCCTGTTTGAGCCAAAGCATAAGCATATGGTAATAGGACTAGGGAGATATACCCGCTATATGGTAACAGGACTAGGGCGATATACCGGCTATATGGTAACGGGACTAGGGAGATATACCTGCTATATGGTAACAGGACTAGGGAGATATACCCGCTATATGGTAACGGGACTAGGGAGATATACCCGCTATATGGTAACAGGACTAGGGAGATATACCCGCTGTATGGTAACAGGACTAGGGAGATATACCCGCTGTATGGTAACAGGACTAGGGAGATATACCCGCTGTATGGTAACAGGACTAGGGAGATATACCCGCTATATGGTAACAGGACTAGGGAGATATACCCGCTATATGGTAACAGGACTAGGGAGATATACCCGCTATATGGTAACAGGACTAGGGAGATATATATGGTAACAGGACTAGGGAGATATACCCGACTGCTATATGGTAACAGGACTAGGGAGATATACCCGCTATATGGTAACAGGACTAGGGAGATATACCCGCTGTATGGTAACAGGACTAGGGAGATATACTCGCTATATGGTAACAGGACTAGGGAGATATACCCGCTATATGGTAACAGGACTAGGGAGATATACCCGCTATATGGTAACAGGACTAGGGAGATATACCCGCTGTATGGTAACAGGACTAGGGAGATATACCCGCTGTATGGTAACAGGACTAGGGAGATATACTCGCTATATGGTAACAGGACTAGGGAGATATACCCGCTGTATGGTAACAGGACTAGGGAGATATACCCGCTGTATGGTAACAGGATTAGGGAGATATACCCGCTGTATGGTAACAGGATTAGGGAGATATACCCGCTGTATGGTAACAGGATTAGGGAGATATACCCGCTGTATGGTAACAGGATTAGGGAGATATACCCACTCTCCTAATTATAGGGGTCACAGGGGAGCTTGGAGTCAAACCAGGGTGACCTATTTAACCCCTTCACTGAATGCCCGGCCAGTAATGTCAGTAATGTCCATTATATAAAGTGAGAAAGATCTGTTTACCTGCTCTGAGAACAAACTGCAGGGACCTGATCATCTCTGAACCATGTGACCTCCATGCATGGGCTGCGTGTGCGTCAGTAACTGCTTCCCCTCGCAACAAAGTGCCCGGCTAACAGGTTCCGCCGGAAATCCTAACACAAAGCACAATCAGCAGAGGGTGATGGGTTTCCACCTCCCCCCATCCAACCCAAATATTATAATTATAAATTAGTCACAAAATGGACATCTTTTACCATTTAACAGCAAGTAACCCCTATGGTATCATACCTTGTACATCTATCAGCTACACACATAGCTAAAATGTAATTATATAGAACCCCAACACCCACCATGCTATACAATGTTATACAATGTTACCCCTAAACCTCACTCATTAATCCCTAACAGCTACCTCCCTGGCTAGAACTAGCCTAAACCCCTGAATATCACAAATCTCAAATTACACCTCACGCTAGGCACCCCCTATTTTAACTTCCACATTTATACATCACCCCTTTCTTTACCTTCCTACCCCTTATATTTATTTCTCCTCTAGTTATTATTATTATTATTATATTATGTATAATCTATATCTAAACATCCTTAAATCTGATCTGATCCCTGTCCCTCACCCCCAGGTCCCATATTTAGTAGTTTATCCTCAGACCTCACCCCACAAATCCCTTTATCTAGTAGACCCCCCCTACACCTTACTTTGATGCCCTATGTCTGACACAGATGCCATCCTTCCATGGTGCTGTTTCCCTGTGTCTGGAGGTGTCTATCTGTGTGGGACATACTAACAGGAATGTCAGAAAATAATGGTATTGGTGTGTATTCCCCAAACTGTGTGACATGTTCTGAATTTCAGCATAACTGAGATTATTGCTGACTTCTGTGGAATGAGAAAGTTGTTCCATTCAGTCACACACCACTTGTCTTGAAAGCAAACTTTGTCTCTGTCTCACTGGCTACAAACACACAAGGCTTGCAATGTGTTTCCTTGTACAATGTTTATGCAAATCACAGTCCCAGTTATTCCAGCAGCTGTCCTGGCTGCCAGTAGTTTATATTGAAGGGTTCACATGTCAGGAACTATCCAGGTGTTCCAGGTCCACACATACAGGACAGAACTCCATGCCCCTGGTACCTGGATAGCTGATCCATTGCAGAATCCTCCCCATTGTCACAGTGTCAGCTGGGAAAAGGGAACTGCACAGACTGGGCTGGCTGGCTGGCTGCCCAGGGTGGAGGGAGTGGCTGTGAAGTTACACTACATATAAATACTGCTATGGTACTGTACTCAGTAAACTCCACAAGCACTCATACAGGACAGTTATATCAGAATTCAAAGATAGCACTCACAGCCAGGACTGGAGAGAACAGACAATCAGGACTAAGCCAGCACTCCCAGCCAGGACTGAGGCAGCACTCCCAGCCAGGACTGAGACAGCACTCCCAGCCAGGACTGAGCCAGCACTCCCAGCCAGGACTGAGGCAGCACTCCCAGCCAGGACTGAGGCAGCACTCATTGCAAGGACTGAGGCAGCACTCCCAGCCAGGACTGAGCCCCCAGCCAGGACTGAGGCAGCACTCCCAGCCAGGACTGAGGCAGCACTCAAATCAAGGACTGAGCCAGCACTCCCAGCCAGGACTGAACCAGCACTCCTAGCTAGGACTGAGGCAGCACTCCCAGCCAGGACTGAGGCAGCATTCAAAGCAAGGACTGAGGCAGCATTCAAAGCAAGGACTGAGGCAGCACTCCCAGCCAGGACTGAGCCCCCAGCCAGGACTGAGGCAGCACTCCCAGCCAGGACTGAGGCAGCACTCAAATCAAGGAGAGCCAGCACTCCCAGCCAGGACTGAACCAGCACTCCTAGCTAGGACTGAGGCAGCACTCCCAGCCAGGACTGAGGCAGCATTCAAAGCAAGGACTGAGGCAGCACTCCCAGACAGGACTGAGGCAGCACTCCCAGCCAGGACTGAGGCAGCACTCAAAGAAAGGACTGAGCCAGCACTCCCAGCCAGGACTGAGCCAGCACTCCCAGCCAGGACTGAGCCAGCACTCCCAGCCAGGACTGAGGCAGCACTCCCAGCCAGGACTGAGGCAGCACTCCCAGCCAGGACTGAGCCAGCACTCCCAGCCAGGACTGAGGCAGCACTCCCAGCCAGCAGTGATACAGATCCTTCAGAGTAAAAGTGTCCCAGGTTGCCAGGTTTATTGGATTTGTTTTCATGGCTGACTGACCTCTGCCCATAAGATAGAAACCTATTATCCTTCTGTCAGCATTCTGTTGCTGTGAATAATGGTGGAAGTAAATAGAAAACTTCTGGATTTACTGAAATTGCCAGGAAACTCGGAATGTGCAGACTGCGGCAACCCAGGTAATGAGAGAAACTGCTCAATTCTACCAGAGACCCACACAGGGTTCACACAGACACATATGGTAAAATGCAGACTGTCTGTGCTTTATAAATGCTGAATATGATTAATGCCAGGTGTACTCAGCACTTTACAGGTTACATTACAGTAGAGGGAGGTACAGTAAGTGCAGTAGGTATACAGTGTATGTATATTTTATTTATATAGCGCTAACAGGTGTACTCAGCACTTTACAGGTTACATTACAGTAGAGGGAGGTACAGTAAGTGCAGTAGGTATACAGTGTATGTATATTTTATTTATATAGCGCTAACAGGTGTACTCAGCACGTTACAGGTTACATTACAGTAGAGGGAGGTACAGTAAGTGCAGTAGGTATACAGTGTATGTATATTTTATTTATATAGCGCTAACAGGTGTACTCAGCACTTTACAGGTTACATTACAGTAGAGGGAGGTACAGTAAAGTGCAGTAGGTATACAGTGTATGTATATTATATTTATATAGCGCTAACAGGTGTACTCAGCACCTTACAGGTTACATTACAGTAGAGGGAGGTACAGTAAGTGCAGTAGGTATACAGTGTATGTATATTTTATTTATATAGCGCTAACAGGTGTACTCAGCACTTTACAGGTTACATTACAGTAGAGGGAGGTACAGTAAGTGCAGTAGGTATACAGTGTATGTATATTTTATTTATATAGCGCTAACAGGTGTACTCAGCACTTTACAGGTTACATTACAGTAGAGGGAGGTACAGTAAGTGCAGTAGGTATACAGTGTATGTATATTTATTTATATAGCGCTAACAGGTGTACTCAGCACTTTACAGGTTACATTACAGTAGAGGGAGGTACAGTAAGTGCAGTAGGTATACAGTGTATGTATATTATATTGTATTTATAAGCGCTAACAGGTGTACTCAGCACTTTACAGGTTACATTACAGTAGAGGGAGGTACAGTAAGTGCAGTAGGTATACAGTGTATGTATATTTTATTTATATAGCCTAACAGGTGTACTCAGCACTTTACAGGTTACATTACAGTAGAGGGAGGTACAGTAAGTGCAGTAGGTATACAGTGTATGTATATTTTATTTATATAGCGCTAACAGGTGTACTCAGCACTTTACAGGTTACATTACAGTAGAGGGAGGTACAGTAAGTGCAGTAGGTATACAGTGTATGTATATTATATTTATATAGCTTAACAGGTGCGTAATTGGCACTTTGCTATGTTACATTACAGCAGAGGGAGGCAAGTACAGTATACAGTGTATGTATATTTTATTTATATAGCGCTAACAGGTGTACTCAGCACTTTACAGGTTACATTACAGTAGAGGGAGGTGCAGTAGGTATACAGTGTATGTATATTTTATTTATATAGCGCTAACGGGTGTACTCAGCACTTTACAGGTTACATTACAGTAGAGGGAGGTACAGTAAGTGCAGTAGGTATACAGTGTATGTATATTTTTATTTATTTAGCGCTAACAGGTGTACTCAGCACTATACAGATTACATTACAGTAGAGGGAGGTACAGTAAGTGCAGTAGGTATACAGTGTATGTATATTTTTATTTATATAATTAACAGGTGTACTCAGCAATCTGGCAGGTTACATTACAGCAGAGTGGAGGTACAGTGCTGGTAGGTATAACAGTGTGTATATTTTATTTATATATAATTAACAGGTGTACCTGTGCACTTACAGGTTACATACAGTAGAGGGAGGTACAGTGCAGTAGGTATACAGTGTATGTATATTTTATTTATAGCACTCAATGGGTGTACTTCAGCACTTTTACAGGTTGCATTACAGTAGAGGAGTGCAACAGTAAGTGCAGTAGGTATACAGTGTGTGTATACATTTATATAGCTTTTAACAGGTGTAATTAGCACTTTACAGGTTACATTACAGTAGAGGGAGGTGTTGTGTAAATGCAGTAGGTATACAGTGTGTGCATATTTTATTTATGTAGCGCTAACAGGTGTACTCAGCACTTTGCAGGTTACATTACAGTAGAGGGATGTACAGTAAGTGCAGTAGGTATACAGTGTATGTATATTTTATTTATATAGTGCTAACAGGTGTACTCAGCACTTTACAGGTTACATTACAGTAGAGGGAGGTACAGTAAGTGCAGTAGGTATACAGTGTATGTATATTTTACTTATATAGCGCTAACAGGTGTACTCAGCACTTTACAGGTTACATTACAGTAGAGGGAGGTACAGTAAGTGCAGTAGGTATACAGTGTATGTATATTTTATTTATATAGCTATAACAGGTGTACTCAGCACTTTACAGGTTACATTACAGTAGAGGGAGGGACAGTAAGTGCAGTAGGTGTACAGTGTATGTATATTTTATTTATATAGAGCTAACAGGTGTACTCAGCACTTTACAGGTTACATTACAGTAGAGGGAGGTACAGTAAGTGCAGTATGTACACAGTGTATGTATATTGTATTTATATAGCGCTAACAGGTGTACTCAGCACTTTACAGGTTACATTACAGTAGAGGGAGGTACAGTAAGTGCAGTAGGTATACAGTGTATGTATATTTTATTTATATAGCGCTGACAGGTGTACTCAGCACTTTACAGGTTACATTACAGTAGAGGGAGGTACAGTAAGTGCAGTAGGTATACAGTGTTTGTATATTTTATTTATATAGCGCTAACAGGTGTACTCAGCACTTTACAGGTTACATTACAGTAGAGGGAGGTACAGTAAGTGCAGTAGGTATACAGTGTATGTATATTTTATTTATATAGCACCAACAGGTGTACTCAGCACTTTACAGGTTACATTACAGTAGAGGGAGGTACAGTAGGTGCAGTAGGTATACAGTGTATGTATATTTTATTTATATAGCTAACAGGTGTGTACTCAGCACTTTGTTGGTGGGTTACATTACAGCAGAGGGAGGGTACAGTGCAAGTGCAGTGAAATAGTATGTATATTTTATTTATATAATGCTAACAGGTGTACTCAGCACTTTACAGGTTACATTACAGTAGAGGGAGGTACAGTAAGTGCAGTAGGTATACAGTGTATGTATATTATATTTATATAGCGCTAACAGGTGTACTCAGCATTTTACAGGTTACATTACAGTAGAGGGAGGTACAGTAAGTGCAGTATACAGTATGTATATTATATTTATATACGCCAACAGGTGTACTGTAGGCAGCTTGGTAAGTTACGTTACAGAAAGAGGGAGGCACAATAAGCAGTAGGTATACAGTGCATGTGTTACGGTATTTATATAGCTATAACAGGTGTACTCAGCACTTTACAGGTTACATTACAGTAGAGGGAGGGACAGTAAGTGCAGTAGGTGTACAGTGTATGTATATTTTATTTATATAGAGCTAACAGGTGTACTCAGCACTTTACAGGTTACATTACAGTAGAGGGAGGTACAGTAAGTGCAGTAGGTATACAGTGTATGTATATTTTATTTATATAGCACTAACAGGTGTACTCAGCACTTTACAGGTTACATTACAGTAGAGGGAGTACAGTAAGTGCAGTAGGTATACAATGTATGTATATTATATTTATATAGAGCTAACAGGTGTACTCAATACTTTACAGATTCTACGTTACAGTAGAGGTACAGTAAGGGTGCAGTATTAGGTATACAGTGTATGTATATTATATTTATATAGCGCTAACAGGTGTACTCAGCACTTTACAGGTTACATTACAGTAGAGGGAGGTGCAGTAAGTGCAGTAGGTATACAGTGTATGTATATTTTATTTATATAGCACTAACAGGTGTACTCAGCACTTTACAGGTTACATTACAGTAGAGGGAGGTACAGTAAGTGCAGCAGGTATACGGTGTATGTATATTTTATTTATATAGCGCTAACAGGTGTACTCAGCACTTTACAGGTTACGTTACAGTAGAGGGAGGTACAGTAAGTACAGTAGGTATACAATGTATGTATACTTTATTTATATAGCACTAACAGGTGTACTCAGCACTTTACAGGTTACGTTACAGTAGAGGGGGGTACAGTAAGTGCAGTAGGTATACAGTGTATGTATATTTTATTTATATAGCGCTAACAGGTGTACTCAGCACTTTACAGGTTACATTACAGTAGAGGGAGGTACAGTAAGTGCAGTAGGTATACAGTGTATGTATATTTTATTTATATAGCGCTAACAGGTGTACTCAACACTTTACAGGTTACATTACAGTAGAGGGAGGTACAGTAAGTGCAGTAGGTATACAGTGTATGTATATTTTATTTATATAGCGCTAACAGGTGTACTCAGCACATTACAGGTTCACGTTACAGTAGAGGGAGGTACAGTAAGTGCAGTAATTTATCTGATTGTATGTATGTTTGTTTATATAAGAAGCCCCAACAGGTGTACTCAAGCACTTTACAGGTGCGTTACAGTGGGGGAGGTACAGTAAGTGCAGTAGGTATACAGTGTATGTATATTATATTTATATAGCGCTAACAGGTGTACTCAGCACTTTACAGGTTACATTACAGTAGTGGGAGGTACAGTGAATGCAGTAGGTATACAGTGTATGTATATTTTATTTATATAGCACTAACAGGTGTACTCAGCACTTTATAGGTTACATTACAGTAGGGGAGGTACAGTAAGTGCATGTGGTATACAGTGTATGTATATTATATTTATATAGCGCTAACAGGTGTACTCAGCACTTTACAGGTTACATTACAGTAGAGGGAGATACAGTGAATGCAGTAGGTATACAGTGTATGTATATTTTATTTATATAGCACTAACAGGTGTACTCAGCACTTTATAGGTTACATTACAGTAGGGGAGGTACAGTAAGTGCATGTGGTATACAGTGTATGTATATTATATTTATATAGCGCTAACAGGTGTACTCAGCACTTTACAGGTTACATTACAGTAGAGGGAGGTACAGTAAGTGCAGTAGGTATACAGTGTATGTATATTTTATTTATATAGCGC